AAATAATAATAATAATAATAATAATAATAATAATAATAATAATAATAATAATAATAATAATAATAATAATAATAATAATAATAATAATAGTAATAAAATAATAACTGTTATAATGTTCTTTTTTCCTTACTTTTCATATATTCTTTATTTCCTATTTTATTTCATATGATTTTTTCAAAAAAAAATTTGAATTTATTTTAACAGAAATAGATAAGAGATATATACAAATGAAAAAAAAGAAAATCTTTTTGTTATCGCAATATTATTTTCCTTAGCAATGATATGGTAGGTACGTTACGATATTGATTGATCGTATTTATTTGTTTGTTTGTTGTTTTTACTACACTAGAAACGATTGACAGTACAATTAAAAAAAGTACTATATGCATCTCACATAGTACCGTTTATTAACATCATTTATTTCAGTACTGTATCCCATGCAGTGTCGTTTATATTATTACCGTATTCCACACAGTATCGCTTACATTAATACAGTGGCGCTTATATTAATTTGTTTTGAAATATATTACTATAAAGATTCATTTTTCTTTGATGTCAAAGGAAAAAAAAAGTAATTATAAGATTTCACTTAAGAAACGAAGAGAATTTAAAAGGATTGCCTTATATTTAATTTAAAACTATACAAGACAAAAAAAAGAAAATTTTTTTTTGACAGATTTGTTGTGAAGAGAAGAAAACAAACATGCATACATATATATTTTATCATTGAAAATTTTTAAGTCATAAATTTTTGATTTTATTAAAAAGTTAGGCATGCATTTTAATGAATTGAAATATTACTCGTTTAAGATGCTCATGACTTTCTTATCTGTAAGAAAAATCGAATTTATTTTTTTTTTTTGGTTGAAATCGATTAAGATCGATTCTTTCCTTTAAGAGAAAAAAGAAAAATTTGCTTTTGTCACAAATTCTAAGCAAATGAATAAATTAATAAATACAGAATTATTGATTGTTTGTATAATTTATGATTGGTAAATCAAAATCTTACTTATTATTCCATTACTTTTGTTCCTTTTTTATGATTGAATTATTCGTACATATGTACATATAATTAGCTATTACATTCAAAATTGATTAATTAATTTTTTTTCAATAAAAGAACAAAATTGCATTCGTTCTCATTCCTTTTCTTTTTTTATTTATGCATATATAAATTAATGATTAATTGAATTTTGTTTTTTGTCTTTTTTGAATGAAAATTACTTTTAATAAGCATTATTAAAAGATTTAAATACGTCAAACATAAATATTAATTATTGATTCATTTTAAATTCCTCTCAAGTTCCTTTTAAACATTGATTCTTATCAATATTAATTATTAATTCCTTCTAAATATGTACTGATTTTTTTTTTTAAAAATTCCTTTTAGATATTAATTGCTTCACAATATGCCAACCTTTCATTTTTTTTTTCTTTTTTTTGAGAAAAGAATGAAAAATTTTTTCCTATTTTCCAACATTCTTCAATTCCTCTATTTTTTTTCTTTTTTTTTTCTGGTAATTACTTTTTAGATAAATTCATGACGTACGCAAAATTTTATTTTTTCAAATTTCATCATTTCATTTTTATATTTTATAATATTTATTGATTATATAATCTGTTATTAGTTAGAAATTATTACCTATTACTTCAAAAATTTACAAAATTTAGCATGCTTTTTTCAAAAGTAACATTAATTAATTGAATTTAACATTACTAAATGAATCATTGTAATCATCAAAATATTCGTTAAAATATCCTCTGGTTGTCATTTTTTTTTCAATAATTGTCACAAACATTTGTTGTTTATTTTGATTTACTTTTGTTGTACTTTTGCAATGCGCAAATTTTTTTTTTACACAATTTTGGAATGAAGCATTCCATTTCTGATGAATTCTTTATAATGAAGCTCTGATTTAAGCCAATTCAATGCAAATTGTCAAATTATTCCATTAAAGCGAATGTTTTGATTGAAATTTATAAGAAATTTGAAATTTTTCAAGCTTAAATAAATCAACATTTTGCGATATGCAAAAAAAAAAAAAAAAAAAAAGTGATGTATTGATGCTTATTAATCAAACATTTTATTCATTTTTTTTCCTTCAAATTATTGTTTTTTTTTAAAATGATAAAATATTTAATTGCCATTTAAATTTGAGGCATTTAATTGTTGCAAAAAAAAAAAAAAAAAACAAAACAAAAATTGTCATCTGTTTCTTTTCTTCCTCTTCTTTTATTTTTTAATTTTCCTTTTTTTTTGAATCAATAAAATTAGATATTTGCTAAAAGCTTAAAAACTTTGCTATGGTTAAATTTTTTTTTTCGAATTACTTTACAGCAAAGCATTAATGCGAAGCAGACAGTATTAATTTCTCAAGAGAGGACAATTCTGACCGAACGTATAAGTGCTATCAAATAAGATTAGTGTATTAAGAAATTGAATTATATTTGCTGAAGTTTACAACAATCTTCCACACTTTTTAGTATTTCATGAAATTACAAAACTGTAACTTTCAATAAAGTTTTATTTTTCAAATTCAAATTTTTGAAACAAAAAAAAAACAAGAAATAAATACGCAAAAAATAAAAAGATAAATTAAATGAAAAAAAAAATTAACAAAAAAAAACCAAATTTCCGAATTTAAATTCGAAAAATATTTCTAAATCTAAATTCTCTAATATATTTATGTATTTTTAAGTACCGATACATTTTATTCTAATTTATGTAATTTTTTTAGACAATACTTTACTTGTTTTGCATTTCTACTTAATCATCACAAATTTTAT